AGAAGAAAATTTAAAAAATGTAGTGAAAATATATGCAACAGTCAAGAACCAATATGTATAAACTGAAAACAAGTATTTAACATGTTTTAAAAAGTTCTACAGTTGAAGAGACATCAGACACATATGTTTATGGATGAATTTGCTCGATTTCCAACTTTGTATAGATCAATGACTCAAACATTGCAGTTCTCACATTTTAAAAACCTCATGCACAAAGATAGCGGCAACTAATTGATTCATCTTAGACATATTTTTCTATCCAACTTTCATCATTCTTAACATTTAAATATCTAACTATTACCAACCTAAATTTGCTCACATAAATTCACTCAGTTATTTATTGAAAGTCTTATTATACAATAAAATTTCAATAATAGTTATTATTTGTACGTTCTAAACAAAGTTGGTTACGTATCACTAATCAATAGAATCTCCAATATTGATCTGAACTGTAAATAAGAAGTATGTTGCTTTTTTTTCTAAGCAAAAAATTCGTTAGATGTCCGAAATGTGGAAATTATTCATAAGTAAATACTGCTAATTTATTTATTCATAAACTTTACAAACATTACTAGTTTTCATTCTACTTTCTATACATTCTTATTCATCAAAAAGAGAAAAAATAGAAAATTCTAATTTTGTTCGATTTTTCATTTCTTTGTTGTTGAAATGTTTAATGAATTGAAGGGAGAAAAAAAACACAACCTCACTATGTTGTGTTATTTAAGCAACTAGTAAGTCTGTTTGTGTATCTCTCTATTTCTCCTTATATCTAGTTCAAAATAATAACATGAAATATGAGGTGATTTAACTTTCTTTTGTTAGAGAGTTAGCCAATGAGAAATTATTTTACCTTGTTAAGCTTTTGAAATACATCGGTATTCACGTAAACAATTTTATTTATATTCAATAAAACCATATTTGGGCACGGCTTTTAATATATATATATTCTCAATGTAAACCTACTTTATTCAATCTAACATATTTAAATCTTCTATAACATTGAACTAACAATAGTGACAACAATGATGAAACTAATAATTATGTCATAAATATTTTTCAAAAATCTCGTTCTTGAACAACTACCGTTTATATATATATATATATATATATATATATATATATATATATATATTGAAAATATGTGATGCATGAAATATAAGATCGTCTTTTGATTTTTTCAGTGCAATGTATAAAATAAGTTGTTAAATAAAAGTGCTAACCTATAACATTAAAGGGTTATTTTTACTTATCCACTATAGTTGTTGGCTTAAGTAACATACTTCATGTACCGGTGAAACTGAGTTAAATTTTATTCAGATACTGAGTTTCAAAATTATATTACAGTTTTTTATCTTTTTTTAACTACATTGTTTTATGACTTAGCGGTTTCTACTGCTATTACTACTTTTACCAATCTGGGGTCCGTTGTGCTAATGTGGAGTGGCGATTTGAAATAATGCAGATACGTTATAAGTTTTATGATTTTGTTTAAGTGACTGACGTTTCCAAGAAATTCTACAACTTATTAATTTTTGATAACGTTTTAACTTATTGTTCATTGAAACGCTTATAAAGAATAGTTACAAGATACGTGATTTGTTTAGTCAACTCTTGGAATAGTTAATATATCCCATTATCATTTTGTGGTCAACATTGAATATTCGACATGAATAAGTAAAGGTACGTATCCAAATCAATACATCGAATCAACAGCAATAAACTGATAAATCAGTAGTTAATCACATTGAAACTGATAACATTTATCTCATCATTCTAAATGTTCCAAGGCTCTTGTTAATTTCAACAACAAAAATATAATCCAACCCTATACACAATGTTTATATTGCATAATGCAGCAGATAATGTCGATTTAATTGTCATGTCTACCATGTTTATCAAACTATTGTGCAACTTTGTTTCGGGAAACAATCCGAAAAAACGTTATTCTTTATTTAGAAATAATAAAAATAATTGGAAGAAATAAGAGGAAACAGGAGATAGGGTTTACCTTTTAACTTTTATTTCGAAAAAAAATAAGTAGAAAGAAATTAAAATCTAATTAAATCAAGAAAACTTATATTAAAATTAAAAAATAGAAAACATTGAAGTGAATACAGATTAAATTTAATTTGTAATATAATTATTACTTATTATTATTATTGAATTATCGCGGATAAATATGTTTTGGTCAATTATTCCACCGGTTTTTATATAATTAATTATCTTATTACATATATATATATATATATATATATATAGAGAGAGAGAGAGAGGGAGAGGTAAGAATGCTTTCATATCAATAAATATTTTTTTCTCAGAAATCAATAAAGTTGGAGCTCAAAAACAAAAAAAACAATGCAACACAAGTGAACTCAAAACAAGGAAATAAACCTTATTATTTGAATATAAGGAATTACAGTCAAACAACAACAGAACAGTTTATTCAATATAATATTCTAATTTCCATTTGATTTTGATTGCAAGCAAATAAAACGAAAGAAAAAAACAAGAATCTACTGAATAAAAAAGTGGAACAGTAAGGAAGAAAAAATTATAACGAAAAAAGAAACGAAAACAAATAAATTATAATAAACGCATAGTTGATTGAGAAAGAATGTGCAATGTAAGCTGAGAGAAGAGAAAATATTTAGGAAGAAGAAAGAAAAAGAGGTTGAATAAGATAGGAGAATAGAAAGATAAGAGAAATAAAAATAAACAGATAAACTACTGAAGGAAAAGAGAAAGTAAGTAAACGAATTAAAAAAAACAATCATACTTTTATTAATTTATTTAGAATAATAATAAGTATCAATAATGAGGAAATAATGAGAATGAAATTTGTTTATGCTTAATGTTTTGTCGGTTGATTTCATTAATGCATGTTCTCGACTATTTAAAATGTAAAAATCAAGGTCAAGATGCTGATAATAATAATAATAGTAATAATAATGATAATAGTAGTGAACAGGGGAAAAACCAGAAACTAGGATAATAACCCATGAACTTAAATGTAACATACCTAAATAAATCAGTGTAGTGATGCACGTCTCAATCTAGATTTCTTCTTCAATAAAAGGAATTTCGGTCTATTTAGCATAGAACATTTTACAGCACTGATCATACATATATATATGCATATATATATGACAAATATTGACGTGTTCAGTAGTGTCAAAAATAAATAAAGTTAGTAAGAAAAGAAAATGGTCATATCAAACTCCTCATCACGCTATCACTGGCTTGTAATGTTAAACAAAGAAAGAAAATACAATTCTCCAAATCGATTATCATATTTCATATTCATATTTAAAGGACCAATTCTTCTGATCGTCTCTATTAATTCTGTTTCATAATTTATAACTGAATTATTATATTTAAATTTATTTGTTTATGTATCTTTTAAACTTATGTGAAACATATGAATTACATTCCGCATTGATCAACATGAAATATCAAATTACCTATGAGTTGAAATTTACTGAAACCTTTGAATTTTACAGAATCAGTTTATTACAACATCATTATAATATCCGTTATTTGTTGAGTATACTTTGTATCTTTGAATAATGTAACAAAGTGATTTGATTTAATATTGTCACGACAGTAACATGAGCTAAGCATTTATTGTCAGATTTACTTATACAATTTTTTTAATTAACTAAAACCTAATGGACGAGTTAAAACACATATTCAAGAACTAAATGATTGTATTACGGTACATCAACATTTACAATTCAATTAAAATCAATGAAGCAATTTATACTAAATAAAGATTGTAATAAATCTAATCTATGCCACATGAATCTAATATACAATATTCTATATTCACTGTTAAATCTAAAGATAAGTATTTTGTTTTTGTATCAAATAATGGAGTGTACACAAAACTGAATAGCTTTGTATGAGGTAAAACAGACCCTTAAGTCTCCTAATCTTTGTTGGTTTATTATTTGACCTCAATCTATGATGAAAATTATCTTTTAATTGAATGCAAAGACAGTTGATAAGTTTCCTTATAAATAAATGTAGATAAAAATATTAGAATTTAGTTGCTTTTTGGGGATTATACCAAGCAAGCTACAAAAACAAATTGCATGTTTTAGGAGATTTATAAATGAGAAATTACATCTGAATCATTAGTTGTTAACATTCTGTTATGTCCCTATTATATGAAAGTGAGTTCGCATAGATTATTGTGTGACTTTCATTCAATCAAATAGTTTTACAACAAAGTCATATATTAATTTCTTTTGCACAAAATATAATACCATGGAGTTGTGAAAACTGTTGAACTTCATCGAAATCATGAACCAGTCTGAGTTAGACCACCATTGAAATCCTAAGAGCACTAGAAGGCCATTTCGTCCTTGTATGAGACTCCTGGATTGATTCAGGTTGGATATCATCACGGTTGGATGCCGGCTCAGCGGTCTAGAGGTTAAGCGCTTGCGCGCGAACTTGAACGACCTTGATCCGATTACTATTTGCAGGATGATGGATGCCCACTGCTGAGGAATCCTATACTAGGATGAAAAGGCAGTTCGGTGTGCCTATGTTTTCAGTGGCCGTCTAACTTAAATCGGTTCATGATTTCAATATAATACTTCTTAGCCAGAATATTTTTATTTTGACTATATGAATGTATAGGGTATCCAATAGATAACTAATAAATTGATTTAGATAGGAAAACAAATACATTCACATAGTGAACATAAAACAGGACTACAAAATGTCAGTCCAAATCACTTAAGATTCATAGCACAATATTCAAATGATCATCTGATAACATTTTATAAAGTTTTTTCATTATTTGAATAGCAAGATGAAAGAGATTTGACAATACTACTTTTGAAAAAAAAAATGTAGCATTTAAGAGTAATCTAAGTATAAACAAAATATTACAATTAAATCTGTAAAAAAATAGTAGCAAAATGAAAGTAGGAAGATTTAATAGAGTTATTTTTTGGACAAGCAAAATTATAGAAAAAATCACTTACCATATTTCACTAAACATATATCACCAACAACAATATCACCAACTAGTACTTCCGTAATATCACCATCTCGTAAAACGGACATTTTATGATCTGATTCAATTTTATCTTGTAAACCACGAAATTGTCTTTCTTTCTGCCAATCATTTGTTGCTGTTACTAAAACTACAACCACAACAGCACAAAGTATAGCAACACCTTCGATCCAACTAACTTCACCTTCAGTCTCATCACCGGAACTATGCTCTCCACCAAAATCTTTGTGAAAAAAAAGAAAACCGATTAATAGAAGAAAATAAATTAGATGATGTTATTATAAATAAGTTTAAGGGGAAAATAGCTCAACAATATTTAGTTATAAGCAAACTATCCGAAATACTTCCTACATAACCAAAAATTATGATCAAAAAATTACCAATATTTCAGATGTTTACTTATTTTTGGTCAAAGCCTTACGTGATTAGCTGATAACTTTTTTTAAAATAATTTTCTGGATACACCATTTTTATTCTTTATTGAGATGAAATGAATGTAAGCTATACCCTAACGTAAGCAAATACTTGCAAGTCGTAGAAACCTCGATCAACATGAATTCACATTCTTCAATGACTATTATTTATATCATCCTCGAATACGCCTTAAAATGGTATTTCGTTGATAAGAATTTATATCACAAAGCTTCACTACTTGAAGTAGAAATTCCTTTAACACAGCTCCTATTGTCATTCATAGCTTGTTCGGATAAGCAGAGGGCATATATATATATATATATATATATATATATATATGCTTTCCTTAAGTATTGTAACCATTCCATTAAGAAGAAAAATTTCATCTTGCATACCTTCTACGATAAATTGACAGATCGTACTGATGATAATTCTTAAACTTCAATATTAACCTTATATGTTAGTAATGTTCTCGACTGATAGCAAATTGTGGAATAAACTACTTGACAAACTATTAAGTCAGAAAAACATTATGGAAATTTGACTGGGACCAACAGTTTCCTACATTTTTGGCATTTTCGAAAAAAATCTCTGATTTATTTATAAATTTCATTAGAAAGAAATATGAAGAATGTTATAAATTATTCGATAATTAATTATTTATGGTAAACAGTTAGTAATAAATATGATTAACTAGTAGTATTTTATAATATATTTTGGAAGAAAAGATATTAATTGGTGTAACATATTGTTTTATGTTGTTTCTAGAATAAATAATTTTGTGTTTAATTAGCTCAGCTTGAAGTAGATAAGTACTTCTGTTATCGTTAGGATTTATTGCGTTACATATAACAAGACTAATAATTAGCAATTCACTTATTTTTTTATCATTTGATTTACCTTTCTTAAGACTAACCATCAAAATGAATTATGGAGAGTGTTTAATTTTTTCTACTCAAAATCGATATCAATCAAAGGAAAAAGCAATGAAAAAAATTTCAGCTGACCGTATGTGGAATTAGCCGTGATCTGTAATGTTTTACTTCTCAGTAGGTTTGCATAATAGTACACACGTCAGTAGAAGAGATTGAACTTGGTACAAAATTATGTTGTTTCAAAATCCTATATCTTAATTTGAATTGGTAAACTCAAGGGTAAAACGTTAGATGTAATAATATGGAATTAAAAAGTCATAAGCTGCAAACATGATGTAGAGTTTGTAGGTTATAATGTAACAAAAGCAAATAGAGAAATGAGGATGGTGTAACAATACAAAATATGGGAACGGGTAGGAAATAGAAAGTGAATAAATCTATATCCTTACATCTTATTTTGAATGTCGTATAAGAATTTTATCACCAAGTGTTATATTGGTCTGGCAGTCTCTAAATGGCCCCTTCAACCTACAACTTTGCTGACTAGCATTTGATGTCGACTTTTTTCATGACTGTGCATACCTAACCCTTCTTTCGACAATCACAGTCGATGACTGCTTTCAGGCTCATCAATCTTTTTTACTATCTCCACACAGTACCTTTTACTCAAAATAAGGAATACTCACTCGATGTTACCACTGTAAGACATTAGTCCGAGGATTCGTAATTGACCTAAGGTATGTACTTACATCTTTACACAAACTTAATGTGCTTTTAAATTCAATTATCCATTTAGATTACCTCTCAGACTATGTCATGTTCATTCGTCATGGAATATTAAATGAATATTTTTTCGTTATATTATATCATAAATACTTAATAATCATTCTGACAAATATGAATTCAACATAAATATAATTAAGGACAATCTAAAAGGGGAAGAGAAACAAACTCTTCATTTTCATTCAATCTAATCCGATTATTTAATAAAATGTATTTCCAAAGTAGATCGTTTAAATTCAATGATAATTTGCCTACATTCAGTTCATAAACAGTACTGGAAATGATATGCTGTCATTGTCACTTTGTGTGTATTTATTTAATCATAAAATCTCAGTAGTATAGCAACTGATGAGATTTTATGCTTAACATTAATAAAAACAATTCATGAAATAGATATTGTCATTATTATTATTACTATTTTATTCATCGTTGAAAAGAAAGGGTTATAAGAGCTTTTTTACTTAACCTTTTCTCCATAAAAAAGGGAGATACCTGTCACTTCTCATTTGTTTTTAATCTGTTTAAGGCTAGTATTTATTGACCCAATAGGCTGATATGAGATAAATAATGATTGATAGATAGTGAATAAATAAATTATTATTTTGAAAAGATAAGGTAAAAGGAAAAAAATGAACTCTTATTATATGGTGAGAAATATTTACTACTAAAACATGAATATATATCAGTACATATATGTATGTATGTTGAATTCAATCATATCTACAATCTCTTTACTTTGTTGTAATGTTCCATTCCCTTTAAGTGAACTTGATTAGTTATCAGTCGACTAAGAGAAACATAAGATCTGGGACGAATATATAGGTATACATTTCCACACATATCAGCGAAGCCAGATAACAAATTACCAGTAGGTAAAGCATAGAAGAGAAATTAATACTAACTGTATTGAAAAGGTTATAATAGAAAATAGGATCTCAAAAGAACAAATAAATTTAAGTAAAAATGATGGAAAAATATAAAACCTAAGATTTATAGGAAAACAAATAATTTATAGAACTTTGTTATGAAAAACGATTTTCAGTCATGTCAATAGTCTCCAGTTAGAAGTTTAGATCTTACCGAATACCTCTTACTGGTAATGATTTAAAGGACTGATGATATGTTTCTTATTCTCCACCTTTTGAATTATTTTTACCAATACTATATTCTCTTTGAGTAGGGTTTGGTTGGGCATGTGTAACACATGTCCAAACCACATTACATGTTAAAATTTTATAGCGTAAATAATCGGTTTCTATCTTGTATCTAAAATCAAATGTCTCACCTTAAAACTACATACCTTTGAAATCCCACTATACTAGAGCAATACTTTAATTAAGCTATTGAATGTACACCTGGAATCTATGCAAGCTCTCTAAATCCTCAGACTACGTTTCGCACCACAAAATGATAAACGGTAAACTGTAGCACAGCATAGCGATCATATCGTAGAAGGCAAATATCTTTCAAAACTCAAGACAGCTCAAATCACACGAGAAAAGTATATTCTTTTTAAAACCATCTTCTCAAAGTTGTTCCGTGAAACATTGCTTTGTATCAAGACACATTTCATTTCTTCCTGGAAATAAAACCGTTCAAAATCTTTAAACGTTTAGCTAAATCTTATATCCTACACGTAGAACCTTTGACGGTATTTACTGATGATATCATAACATTTGAATGGAAAATGTCAGATCTCAAATCCAGTAAAGTGAAAACTAAATATACTTACGCGAATATGTGCAATAAAACAGTCATGATCAATGAACTTTTATCGTGAAATTCACAAAGATTCCCAGACGTGTCAGTATATTTACATAGAACTAAGGCATATGCCTTACCAATTACTGATACTGATTTCTGGTTATTTATTTTTTTATTTATTTAACTTTATTCCCTTTTACACAGTTTATGTATAAGTCTTTCTATATTACTTTTCTAAATAAAATAAGTAAAAATGAGACAAAATCAAATATTCTTCAAGTTCTTATACAAACGAACAGAAAAGCTCATTTGGTTGAAAATTACATTCAGCAAAACATAAAATGAACGATTATTATTTATTTTTGATAGAAATATACTGTGTGAATTGATGTAAACTATCGAATTGTATTTTTTCTAGTAACCTTAACCTCTAAATCAATGACCTGAGATCCAATGGTGCACAGATCCAACTTAAATCAATACACGATATTGCGCGACCATCCTCCAACTTGAATCAGTTCGTGATTACAATAAGATTCAACAATTTCCACAACTCCATACTGACAATTATCATGAGCTCAGTAGTGACTAGCAGCAAGAGAAAATTTCAGTTTTAACGAGAAGCCGTTACCAATGGAGCTAAACCCTGTAGAGTTTTAAGATATCCACCGAAGACAATGAAAGATGTTCGAAGAATATCGTAGATTGATTTGGGTCAGATACGTACGCCAATAAGTCTCGACTCGGTAGTCTAGAGTCTAAGCCTTCGAGAGCGAGACTAGAGGTTTTGTTTTTGACTTACGATTGCAGGGTCGTAGAAAGGCAGTGCTCAGGAAAACAATTGTTGGGAAAAAACAGTCCCCTAGGCCTTCCATGTTTTCAGTGGTTATCTAACTTCTATGGGTTCATGAGTTGACCAAAAATGATGTTGCTTGACATGAGATTAAAAAATATCTACCTACAAAATTTCCAATTATCATTCATAAAAAGTTTTGAAAAATCACATTATTGATCAATTTTTCTCTGCTTTTGGCTGCAATAGCTTCATTAAACAAAATACATATAAATATAATTTTGTAAATACTTGTATCTAAGAAGAGAAAACTCCTATGAACTACAAACATTTATTCAGTCAACTTGACTAAAATACCTAACTATAAGTGTACACATCAAATTTCTGCGTAAATCCCCCTAGTAAATTATCCAAAGAAATTACCAAAGCAAAATGATATTTACATATTGTGAGGAGACAGATCAACTTTCATTTCTTCCTTAACTAACAATGATTTTTCTATATATTTGACATGCCAATCATCTTACCATTTTAAAATGACAAACAAAGAATATGTGTATTCTTAATGTCATCTAGAACTATTTGATATTTCAAATTATTTGTGTTCTTTTTACCTCTATTCTTTCTAAACATAGATGATCCGAAATGTGGATA